ACCTAGACTACCAGAGACCAGGGCCTAATATTTTGGGAGTGATTCCAATCAGTGCCCATTGATGTAAAATAAATGTCTTCAAATCCTGGGTGTCCTGTCGTGTTTACATTTGCCATAGCAGTATGGTGGTACATGTGTATAACCCCAGTACTCTGGAGGCCGAGGTACAAGGATTGCCCTGAGTTCCAGGCCAGCCTGGATTACATAGTGAATTCAAGGCCAGCCTAAACAACATAGTAAAACCTTGTCTCAAAAAAACCCACAAAAAAACAAGGCATGTAGCCTATATCATATGTCTGGTGGTGCCTAGACTTTCTCAAAGGTAACATAATTCTTAGTGACACAGATATCTGTGCCAAGTAAACAGGTCTAGAAATATCACAGGCCATCTTTTCATAGGGCTTGTACTTCAAATGCTGCTTCTAACTAAACCAGGCCAGTTTCTCAAAGATGCTGTTTAGTCTCCAGGAGAAAAACCCACAGTAGTGCTGGTGGACAGAGCTCTCTCCTCCCTCAGGCCTCAGTCTCCTACCTGGGAAATGCCACCAGTCAGCCCTGAAGAAGAGCTCTACAGAGGACCTCACAAAACCAGGGAGGGTCACACAGAAAACCAAGCCAGGGAAAAGACAGAGTACATATTCTAGCAGAAAGGGTTATCACAGCCTTTCCACAGAACACAAAACTCGGTTAACTTCCTTCAAGAACCGAAAAGGAAACAGTTCTCATTATATAAGTTTCCTTCTATTTATGACCCACTGCCTCTAAGCACAGCAACTTCTCTGTGTTGTAAGATCAATTTCCTGTATTTAAATGACCCACCCTTCAACAACCAAGACACCATCCATAGCAGCAATCTACATCTCACCACTTATTTTTCTGGCAAAAATTAGACACTAAATGCTCTTTTGCTTTCCACAAAAAAATTGTAAGAGAAGAAAACAATCTCAATTCTGTAACTATTCATTTTGATAAACTAAAGAAAATTACTTAAGGCTGTAAATTAATCATTCAAATTGATTGAGACATTCAACACAGAGCCAGGTAAGTCACCACTGGGATGTAGGTAGCTATCTGAAAATTACCCTAAAGGTGTCAAATACTAGACTGTCACCTCAGAGCAGCCAAAGACCTGCCAGGTAAAAAAAAAAAAAAAATCACATAAACTCACACTTTTGTAGGGCGTGGTGGCACACGCCTGTAATCCCAGCACTCAGGAGGCTGAGGCAGGCAGATCGTTGCAAAATGAACGCTACCCCTGAACTTTCATAGAAAAAAAAAAAGGCAGAAACTTGAATTCTTGAAGGAGGTTACAATTGGCCTAGACCTTGGTCTACCAAACCTGTAAAATTAGGGAATCAATAAACTATCTCTAGCCAGTCATGGTGACACATGCCTGTAATCCCAGTACTTGGAAGGCTGAGGCAGGAGGACTGTTGTGAGTTCAAGGCCAGCTTGAAATATATACATAGCAAGACCCTGTCTCAAAAAAAAAGTCATCTCTAAGACCTCTCCAAATCTCCCCCTATTCAGAGCTCCACTTCCGCTCAGCAGAGGCCTTCTCTGGCCACTTCTTCGGGTGATGCCCACACTATTTTGTATCCTTTTGTGCTGCTCCATTCAAGACCCATTGGACCCATGCTATATGCATTTCCTCCTCACCAGGATGCAGGCTTCACACAGGGAAGGAGATGACGCCAAGTAGAATTGACAGACACACAAATAGGTTTTCAGTGAAAGAACAGATCCATTCCAGTTCAAAATATTATAATCACTGAGGTATCCTTTTATGTATGTCTAACCTGAAATCTGGAAGTTTAAGAATACAACTTGCAACAAATAAAGTTTAACGGCACAGAATTTTATCATTAACACATCCTTTGCACGTGGCTTGAATATGCATGACTGTCCCATCTGGCAGCTTGTAGCACTGATGTATGAACAGATTTAACCACTTTTATAGGTCTTTTTACTAATAAAAATAAAAAGCCACCCAATGGGACAGTCATGTACGTATCACTAGTGGTTCAAGCCACCTGGCAGGAAGACATACAAATTATGGCCCTGAGGTGAATGTGTAAACATTAGTAAGAAATTGTATTAATATGCAAATATTACTAGAGAGATATAAATAGAAGGTCAGATTCAAATCTAGACTCTATTTCTTACAGTTCATCCTTACTTAACTTCTCTGCTTTAGTTTCCTCTTGAGTAAGTGGGGGCAAATAGTACCATGAGCATCACAAGAATGCAGAGTGTTTATAACTACTGTATGTAACTGGAAAATAGGGAGAGTTGAAGGAAAATCTGTGTTCATTATTTCCTTCCATAATTGCAAACTAAAAAGACAGTCAAGGTAATAAAAAAAGGAAAATTTTAATTTTATTTTAAATTTTATATATATACACACACACATACATATATTTATATATATATTTATATATATATATTTATATATATTTAGTGTCGGGTACTTTAAAAAAAACAGTATTTTCTCCACAGGAAAATAAGGAGAGAAGATCTTAAGTTTGTGGTTATGGATGCTTTTCAAATAAAACAGAAATGTAAAACTGTACCAGAGGAAAAATCTATGGGTCAGGGAAGACATAAAATTCAAGGTGAGACACATGGCATGCTTGTCACTTCAGCAGTAGATCTTCGGATTATACTGTGTGTTCTCTGGGACCAAGATTCCCCTTGATGGTGCTGTAGTAACCTGCTGCTTCTGCCATTTCCCTGTGATACCCATGGACTAGTGCTCCCACCAGCAGCTGTCTCTGCACCTACAATCGTTGGGGGTTCTGTCATAATATGTATTCCAGTCATCAAAATGTGTAGATTTAGACCCACATAGGCACCAACTCAGCCATTTGCACCTGAAAGCTGCAAGAAACAGTCTGAACAGTAGTGCACTGCTTGCCCTCCATGCAGAGGCTATTGTGATACAAACATTTGTGGCTAGACAGGCAAGCCAAGAGTCAATGGCAAGACTGACAATTGGTGAGGCCAGGTCTGTGTCATTGTGAAGCACTGATCAGTTTCAGATCCTGACACTGGCACTTGTCTAGACCACTATGTCAGTCATATGGGGACTCTGGAGACAGAGAACACAACTTCACCCCCGACTCTTGCAGGTAGGACATGCTTAGTTATAAATCCTTCACAGAGTCCAGCTTCTACACAACTGGCAGAGTGAAGAGGGAGAAATGACAGGCTTTAAGCCTCTACAGCACCAGAGAGAGCTTTTGTCACATACATCACCGGTAACGCTGAAGGAAATGGCTGGAGCCCCAAGTAGTGGGCTGTTGGCTGTGGCAATGACCTGCAGGCTGAGTGCTCTGCACATCTTGAGGACTTGTTGGCAGGTACTGGATATGCACATCAGCCCAGGGGAGGCTGTGTGAAGACTCACTGAGAAGACACATGCTACTCACTTGCAATGGCTCATTTTAAATCCCAACTGAGAAAAAAAGCACTGCATGGGGTAGATATAAAGAAAACTAAAATATCTAAATACATTATGTTCAGAGCCTCATAGCTTCCTCCTCTGAAGCAGGGAACATCAGACAATGTTTTCACATGTGAGGGAATGGAGCAGCAGACAGACAGGCTCCTCCAATGGCCTTATTTATAAGAAACTGCATTTATCATTACCTGGGAAGAAATCTCAACACAAGTCAGAATTGGTTCAAACAAGGATTCTTCAATACTGGCATATAATCTTGATGCCATAGAATGAAACAAGCTACCTGCATGAAGGATACCAGTTGACTTTTTGCTGCCCAGAACCTGAGTCTCCTCTAGCCAGTGATCACCAATGAGTAAGGAGGGAAGGGTGAGGAGAAGGGGAAGAGACAGGAAGAAGAGAGGAGGGGATAAAGGGGAAGAGGAAGGTGAAAGTGAGGGGCATGGGAAAGGGGAATGGGAGGAGGAGAGACGAGAGGAAGAGATTTGCGCAATTCAAAGGCTAGGCAGGTGAGCACCACAGGTGTGCTTTCATACTACAGCCAGTGGGTGGGCAAGACAAAAACTGTCTGCAGAGGACTTAAGAGGTTCCTCCCTCTACAGCTTAGACCTCAAGGAGATGGTATTTCCACTGGGCCTCAGATAAGGGGCTGCCATTCAGAAAGGTAGTACTGCCGTTCTCACAGACCTGTATATGAGACAAATGGACCAAGTGTACTTACAACAATACCTGGCACACAGCAGACACCTCCTGTCAAGCTATTTCTCCTTCCCCTCACAGCATTTTTGTGAGAAAATAAAACCCTGTATTTAGGCAAACAGCATCTCCAATTCACAGAGACAATATTGCCAACAAGTAATTCATTCGCACAGCACCCAGAAAGTAATGTGGGTAATAGCCACTCTTTTTTCCGTCTGTAGTGCTGGCTACGGTATTTATGCTATTATCAGCCAAGGCCTACCACAAAATAAAGAAGTCACCCGTCCGCGAGTGAGACTTCCTCTCGGAAGGCAGACTGCGCCAAAAGGAAATCAGATTGCGCTAATTTTGACATTTCATCTCAGTTAAAAAAAAACAGATATTGTCTTCGCAGGTGTACGGTGTTAAAGAGCACTGCAGTGGTCCTTAACAGCAACCATCCAGTTCCCACAGCGGGAGACCTCCATCCTTTCCAAAGCAAGTTACAAGGGAATTCACAATGGGGGAAGGAATAGAAGAGAGACTGAAGGTTAAAAAATAAATAAATAAATAACAAAATGGAAAAGAAAAAACGTCCGTGTTTTGCCCAAAGGCGTCTGCCAAGATTTACTAAACAGGCCAACAGCGCCTGACTTCAGCGAATGAGCGGCCCAGCTGCAGTGCCCACGAGCTGTACGCCTGGGGGTAACCGGGGGGCGGGAGGTGGTGCCAAACCCGAGCAGATGCTGCGGGGTTTCCCTCCTCCTCTTCCTCCCTGGTACTCAACCTCGAGGAAGCGGCTCGACGCCAGGCACATACCCCGGCTGTCCCCTCTGTCCGCGGCCGCCGGCCCACTCACCGCAGTCTGCCGGGTACTGGTCCGCCCAGTCCCCCGATTGCGGGCAGCCGCCACCCGCCGGGCCCTCCTGCTGCTGTCGGTGCTGTAATTCTTGCTTGAGCAGGGACAGCGGCGAGTAGTGCTCCGTGGCGCGCGAATAGGCCAGAGCCCCCAGCAGCAAGATTAGCGGGAGCGCCCGAGCCCCCGCGCAGCCCCGGCACCGGCGCTCGCGGCCCGCAGGTGCCATCTTCAAGCACGGCGCACGCGCGGCCGTGCTTGTCCCGTAGCGAGCAGGTGGGCGAGGCGGACGGGCGCAGCGCCTGCCGGGAGTCGTAGTCCCAGCCTTGCCAGCCCCTGGCCCGCGCCCTGTGTCCAGACTACCAAGCCCAGCAGGCCCGGCGTAAGACCTCTTCCGGTCCTGACCTGACGACTTCCGTCAGTCACCAGCACTTGCTTACTTAGCTACCAGGAAAATGGTTGGGCAAGCGGGCCGGTGGCCCGGGAAGGGCGCGGAGGAGATGGCTGAGGCCGTGTCATCCCCCGCCCTGTACCGGTGTATCGAGTGCAACCAGGAGGCCAGCGAGCTATACCGAGACTACAACCACGGCGTGCTGAAGCTCACCGTCTGCGTGAGTGCGGGGGCGGGCGAGGGCAGTGGCACCGCCCGGTGCGTGGGAGGCTGGGGCTCCGCTCTGGCTTGTGCCGCGGAGCGCAGCGGGCAAGGGGCGTTTGGGCGCCGGGCCGGGCAGCTAGGACACGGAAGTTAGTTGCGTGCCAACTTTCAGCCGTTGCCTTTAAAGTCCACTGTTCAAGGTAAGCGTGCCTTCCCATTCAGCTTTCACAGTTTACCTGTGCTTACGGACACACAGTACCCTTAGTAACCTGGGGCGCTGGCCTATTCCAAGCGCACAGGTATCTAGTGTAAACTCATCACAGAAACAAGCCTAGACTCTTTGAAGATTATCAAGTTTCCGTTCCAGTCACTATTAAGATACTTAGTTCCCGCCTCTGGGAGGCTGGATGCAAAGGCGAGTAAGACACACAGTCCCGCCATTGAGAAGCTTAAAAGCCCAGAGTGTTCCATTTTAAAATACATGTTTGCTTATTGTAAAGCTAAAATTAAATAGGATAAGTAGGGGAAGAGGGAAGTAGGGAAAGAAGTAGTCTTTGCGATGATGATACAGAAGAAAGCAGCAAGAATAATATTCATGAAAAGATAGTGTAGCCAGTTTATTTTCTACAAAGTGTGGCTCATCAGTGAAGTGGAGAATGTTAGCAGGACAAAGCATGTCACAGCTAAGTGAAGACGGAGGTGGTGTGTTTGAGGCCCTTGTGCTGTGTTTACTTAAACAAAAAGTTTTTCTTTTCAGGATCTTTGTCTATTTGGTAGTAGATGATAAGGAATGGAATAATTTTGCCAAAGTAAAAAAAAGTATTTACCAAAAGTAATATGGTACTTTAAATATAGCTCCTAGTAAGATGTTCTAGTATATCTGTGTGTGTGTGTGTGTGTGTGTGTGTGTGTGTGTGTGCACGTGTGTGGTTTTCCTGCATACATTTCAAGTGAAGGCAGGAGAAAGAAACAGAGGAGCACTTATAGGGAACGCAGATACTACAAGGAGAACAAAGAAAAGTTAGATCTAAATGAATGAGAAGGGCTAGCAGACCTGAATGAATTTCCTGTTGGTTATCATGCTCTGCAGGGAAAATGGGCAGTGCCCACAGCATGTCATATGGTACGGGAGCTGCCTCTTTCATTGGTTTCCTATCACGAAGTTATCCCCTTGTAACACTTATCAGACCACGTGATAGCACACTTGTCTGAGCCTTCTAAACTGTAAGGCCCTCAAGGTTAGATGAATGGCTCTAGGTGATTAGCTGGTATCTTGGAAAGGATTCGTAAGTGACTGAAAAGAGAGTTCTTGTGAATGTAGTAGCCAGTCTACATGCATCTACCAAACAAGTGGATGCAAAAGAAGCAGGAGCTGCTCCCCTCCCTAGCGCTGGTTTCTACCTGCCTGCTTCTAAGAATTTTCCAGTCACCGAGTCTTACACTTGTGGTACTGCCTGAAAATGGGGTATAGAGAACTTTATTGAAGGACAGAGAAGAGTATCCTGGAACTCCTGGTGGTTTCATCTAGAAATGAATTAGCGTTTCTGGACTTCAGATCTCATATGCAGGAAGAGAGAAAGTGTACTCCCTGTGAGTTGCACAGGGTGTATAAAATAGCCTGTCGTGATCATATGATTTCTGACTCTAGCTTCTGTTTAGGTGCCAGCTCACTCTTTGCTCAGGTAAAGAGCTGCAAAAACATGAATTCCTTATGCCTGTTTTGTTAGATAGATTTAAGTTTGAGGAAGTAACACATCTGCCTTCACCAGTTCACTTGATGACTGGAAAAACATACCTATTTATTGTAGTGAATGAAATGGAGAAACTTACTGTGGAAGGAAATCCAATATTTCATGATGCTGACGTGCAGGGTTAATATTCTGCAATGCAGTTCAGTTTTCTTCTAGTGCTTTGATGAAACTAAAAGGCCATCCTAGTATGTTTGTATACCCACTTCTATTTCTATTTTATCCTGCCAGAGTTTGAAAATGTCTTGTTGGAATGGTACCCATTCATTTTTTTGGTGCTGAAATGTAGCATTAATGCAGCTTTGGTTTAATACTGCTTCATATGTCCATATTTTAATGGTGTTGCAATTTGATGAATTGTAATCACATGTCCAGAGATCCTGAACTCTAAAATGGTGACCTTGGAGAGCCTAGATTTTGGTGACCTGGACCCAGACCACACCACCCAGTTCTTTCCACTCTCCACTGTCTCCACTGTAGAGGACCATTTTCCTTCTGCATCCTTGGTATTATTAGAGGAAAACCCAAGCTTCCCTGGTTTCTGCCACCTCAAGATTGTTGGCACTGTGCCCCATTCCTTACCTATATGTAGCTCTCAGAAGTTCAGGGAGCAGGGAATTTTGCTGAACATCTTTCTCAAAATCCTATTTCAGGAACTACAATGTGGGGGCCATATTGCTGATAGACAACAGGTTAGCAGCCAGAAAAGTGCATTACAGATTCATTCATAACAATTCCCACAAATTAAAAGTAAACTCTCCTGGAATACTTTTCTGCCTGGAATTAGTCTTTAAATCAAGTATCTTTTTAGCTTCCCAAATGTGAGATGAAATACTAATATTTCTAGCCTAGACACTTATATTTAGTCACTTGTGAAACCCCTTCTTACAAAGTGAACATTTTGTACCCAATGGGAAGTTTAGTTAAGTGTTGATTTTGCCTTATTTGCTGTGTGAGTAGAGTATTATTTTGAAGTTCAAGATTTCACACTGTATTAATTTGCTTGTTCTGATGTTATCTTGTGTTATTTCAGAAATCCTGCCAGAAACTTGTAGATAAATATATCGAGTATGATCCTGTTATCATCTTGATTAATGCTATTTTATGCAAAGCCCAGGTCTACAGGCATATTCTTTTCAATACTAAAATAAACGTAAGTTGTGATAATTTTAAAAACTTTTTAATGTTACTTAATAGTGCATGTGCATTTTATAAGAATAACAATTTTGAACAGAATTTAAAAATATAAAAAGAAATAATCTAGGTGGGGGTGGTGGTGCACACCTGTAATCCCATTACTTGGGAGGCTGATGCAGGAGGATTGACATGAATTTGAGGCCAGCCTGGACTGCATAGTGAATTTGAGGCTAGCCTGAACAAAGCAAGACCCTGTTTACAAAAAAAAAGAACAGCCGGGCATGGTGGTGCATGTCTGCAATCCCAGCACTCGGGAGGCTGAGGCAGGAGGATTGTTGCAAGTTCGAGACCAGCCTGGGCTACAAAGTGAGCTCAAGGCCAGCCTGAACTGCATAGTGAGACCCTGTCTCAAAAAAGACAATCAATCAATCAATCAATCAATAAGGGGCTGGGGGTTTAGCTCAGCGGCACAGCGCCTGCCTGGCAAGTGCAAGGTCCTGAGTTCGATTCCCGGTACAGGAAAAAAAACCCAATAAATAAATAAATAAATAAATTTTTTTTTAAAAGATAAAAATTCTAATTGGAAGGTAGATCTTTTCTCTAAATATGTCTGGAAGTTTCTACAGTAACAAGTATGGATTTTTTGTGTGTGTGTTCTGTTTTGTTTTGTTTTTTGAGACAGGGTCTTCCTGTGTAGTTCAGATTGGCCTTTAACTCACAGTGTAGCCCAGGCTGGCCTCAGACTCACAGCGATCCTCCTGCCTCAACCTCCTGAGGTATAGAATTTGAAAAGGTGTGTTAGGAAGCTGACAGCTATAATCTGTATTGCCTTTAGGGGGTTACTTACTGAAACAGAATCACTGATTCTGAACAGAACAAAATTAAACATATCTGGGTAGAGAGAAAAATCTAAAAGAAGTAAACAGACATTCAGAGAAAAGCGTTAAACATAATTCTTGCATTCTATACTCTGCTGTTAGGGAATATATACAATAAATAACAACATTGAATTTAGTCAGAAAAGTCCTAATTTTAAAAGTTGAGTTTTTGCTGGGGCTATCGCTCAGTGGCACAAGCCCCTGCCTAGCAAGCACAAGGTCCTGAGTTCAATTCCTGGTACCAAAAATAAATAAATAAAAGATGGATTTTTAAAAATATGTATTTAGTGGTTGAATTGTAAACTCTTCAATAGTTTGGGCAGGATTGACAGATTAAAATACAGGACATCCAGTTGAATTTGAAACTCAGGTAAACAATGAAAATTTTTAGTATGTCTCAAAAATGGCATGAAACATACTTACAGTAAATTGTTTATTGTGTATCAGAAACTAAATTTACTGGGTGTTCACTGTTGCTATTTCCAATCCTAAATTTGGGCTAAGGTCGACAATAATGATGCAGTTCATTTATCCCCAGCCTGCCCCTCCAGTGAAGTAACCAGGGCATTTTTTAAATCCCCAGCGCATTGATTGTCAAACTTCAGAGCACACTGGGAATCACAAGGTTGGATTATAGGAGGTTAAACCTTGTAAGCTAAGATGTTCCTCAAAATTACACTTACCTGTGCCTGTTGATACTAAGTATCGAGTGCTGCTTTCCTGATTGAGTGGCAATGTCTTTTGACTGTCAGATCCATGGAAAACTCTGCATGTTTTGTTTGCTTTGTGAAGCATACCTGAGGTGGTGGCAGCTTCAAGACTCAAACCAGAACACCGCCCCAGATGACTTGATTAGATATGCCAAGGAGTGGGATTTTTACAGAATGTTTGCAATTGCTTCTCTAGGTAAGGAGACACCTTGCTTTCCATTCTTAAATAGAATTTAACTATTTGACTAAAACTAAGACACATGCTCTTTTTTATTTTTTCTTTTTGGCTCTTTTAAGACGGGGTTTCACTGCAGTTCAGGCTGGCCTTTAACTCACTTTGTAGCCCAGGCTGACCTGGAACTTGCAGCAGTCCTCCTGCCTCAGCCTCTGAGTGCTGGGATTACTGGTGTGTGCTGCCACACCTGGTTTGACAGATGCTTTTAATCATGGGCAAGGGGAGATAGTTAATAAAAGACTCGCAACTAAATTCTCAGCTCTTCCATTAACCTGCTACCTGCTAGGTGAGTTTAAGTTCTGATTACCCAACTCAAAGACCTCTTCAACTATAGTGAAATATTATTTTATAATACTGAGTCTCCAGTCCATGCCAGTGTCATAGTTCTAGATCACATATCTTTTGTCCTGTCTGCCATCCTCACTCTCTCAGTCATCTCACTCTTCTGCTCAGAACTACAGATGTGCATCTCTAATTCAGACCTTTCTCTGGACCTCTAGGCCCTTTGTCCAGCATCTTCAGCAGCTGCACGTGGACAGCCAATAAGTCTTCTCCAAAACCCAGCTCCTCCTGTCGCCTCCTCCCATAGCTTTCCCCACCTCAGTTGCAACTGTCTCTCATGCCCAGCCTCCACAGGGAACTCGCTTCAGACACACAGGGTGAGCCTTCACACTCCACCTTTGGACCTCTGGGCTGGCTGCTCCATCTACCAGAGTGTCTGCCCCTAATGTCCATACGCCTGCTCCCTGGCAACCCTCAGGTCTGAAACGTCCCCTCAGTGAATCTTGCCCCAACCCCCACCCCCACCTCACCCCCGCTGCCTTGTTTTAAGGTGCTTATCACAGAAGCTGCTGTTAACTGTCTTTTGTGATCTGCCTTCTCTACTAAACAGAATGAGGGCGAGGCTCTCTGTTGGTCACTGATACAGCTCAAGCCCTTAGTAAAGTACCTGGTCTGTAGTCGGTGCTCAATGAACATTTGTATAGTTGATGTAATGATTGCATATGTACATGCACACATTCTAACCTGATCAAGTCACCATCAGACTCTGCTTGTTCATTCACTATTATCATTCATATACTTAAGAATTATTTGCTAAAAGCTTATAAACCAGTCATTCCTTTAGGCACTAGAGAGATATATCTATGAAAAATACAAAAATCTTTGCCTCTCAGAGCTTATGGTTAGGATTTGTTATGATTTATGACAGCTTATTGACTGTGATGTCCATTCCATCAATTTTTGGGGTTATTTGTTCTTGTTTTAAAACAGAGTGTGGCTACAGAGCTGGCTTCAAACTCGATAATCCTCTTGCTCCATTCTCCCTAGTAGCTGGTGTTATAGACATATACCACTGTTCCTGGCTCTTATAAGTAATTTTGGGTAGAATTTGGACTTTGCTGAGATTTGAAAACACTTAATGTGAATTTCATTATCCGTGTAGTAATATTTGAAATATACAGCAGAATGTGAACATTTACATATTACAGTAGTATTAAATACATCTTGAGCATATCTCCTAACCCAGGAGCATAATTAAGCTTTAAAACAAAGCCTTATACCTGTAATCTCAGCACTCAGGAGGCTGAGGCAGGAGGATCATTGTGAGTTCAAGACTACAAAGTGAGTTCAAGGCCAGCCTACTGTATAGCGAGACCCTGTCTCAAAAAGACCAAAAAAAAAAAGCAAAGCTTCATAAAATTTCTAAAGGTATTTGTCCCCCCACTATCTATCTATCTATCTATATACATATATATGTGTGTATATATATATACACACACACACAAATGCACACATACCTGGTTTGGTTTGGTTTGGTTTGGTTTGGTTTGGTTTGGTTTGATGTTTTGAGACAGGGTCTCACTCTAGTTCAGGCTGACCTCAAACTTGCAGCAGTCCTCCTCACATAAAGCCTCTTTTTAAAAATATAGACACAGCAGTTGGGCGTGGCAGCACACACCTGTAATCCTGGCACTCAGGAGGCTGAGGCAGGAGGATCACTATGAGTTTGAGGCCAGCCTGGGCTACATAGTTCAAAGTCAGCCTGAACTACATAGCAAGACCCTGTCTCACAAAAAAACTTACAAAAAACAAAAAAACAACCACTAACAAAAAAGGCTTGTTTTCATATAGTTTGGAATTCCTTAACTACTACTCTGTAGTGGATATTTTGGTATTTAAGGAGAAATGCCTTTTAACTGTTACTTCACTTTTTTATGTGTCCTAATCTAATCCCTAATTATATTGTAAAAACTGAAAGGAGTTTATTAAGAATATCTTACATGAGTACAGCATTTTATAGTTTAGGAACTACATGTACAAGTACTGTCTAATCTCATTTTCACAGCTATCCTCTGTGTTGATAGTTTAGGGGTTTTGCCCATCTAGTGATATGGAAATAGACTTAGGAAAAAATAAATGACTAATTTCTTTAGAGTCTAGGAGTCAGTGCCTCTGCCCAGGCCAGGAGAAATTTCCTGGCTCCCCACCCACCTGTGTCTCAGCACCACAGTGCCCATCGGGCACGCGGCAGCCCCTGTCGTCTGGCCCAGTTCACAAAAACCTGCAGGGACAAAGGCTCCCTGAGGTCTGAGGAGGAGGATTGTGCAGACCCTGAGGGCTGGTGAAACCCATGGTCCAGAGTCTTAGAGTCTTAAACTAAAAAGGCGTGGAGCTTAGCCCATCCACCTTAAACATGGTACAAGAAAACCCCCTTTCCTCAAGATTTCTGACACGTGTCTGACCGTCTCCAGTGACAGAGCAACCCATCCTTTGTTAGGTGGTTCCTGCAGTTAGAGAGGGTTTTTTTTTTTTTATTACTTTATTAATCCTTTAATCCTGAATTCAGACTCTGCCATCTGCCTGCATAAGTAGAGTCATGCAGATGACAAGCCCTTCAATTATTTTAAAGGGAGATAGCTTAGCTCCCTAGAAGACTGTGCACCTGGAGTTGTCATCCTAAATTACTGATCCTAATCATCTGTATTTGGAATGTCTTTAGTTTGGCTGTGTTAAGTTTAAAAACATGTAAAAAGGAGAGGAGTTGTTTCTTTTTGTTTGTTTCTGTGACAGTGTGCTGCATATGTTCCAGAAAAACCTGGAGATCCCAGAGTGAAACATACCACAGCTTAGAGGAAAAGAATGAGGGACAGACCTCTTAGTGCAGGCAAGTGGCCAACCAGAGGACTAGCAGTTCCAACAAAAACAGTAGCACAAACTCCTCCTTGACAGGAGCTGAACACATTGCTGTATCCTGACTGCTAGACACCAGGCAAAGTGTCACTTCCTCTGACCTTTCTGAGAAACATAAGGAATTGCACTCAAAAATATTAAAGCAGCTGGGCATGTGGTGCACGCCTGCTGAGGATTACTGTGAGTTTGAGGCCAGCCTGGGCCATGTAGGTCAAGGTCAGCCTGAATTCAACAGTGAGACCCTGTCTCAAAAAACCCTAAATCAATCAATCAGTCAATCAAAAAAAAAAAAAAAACCAAAGGGCCGGGATATAGCTCTGTGGCGTAAGCGCCTGCCTGGCAAGTGCAAGGCCCTGAGTTCAATTCCCAGTACCCAAAAAATAAATAAACAAAACAAATAAGGGAAGTCTTTCAATTTAGATAACAATATTTAGCATCCTATAGATAATAAGTGCTTAGTAAATAGTGAAAAAATCCACAAAGAAAAGTGCGTGCTTGTGCAGCACCATTCCCAGGGCAGCCCCACCGTTCAGAGTTGGAGCTTCCACCCCTGTGCTTCACTCTTTCCTGGGATCGCACGCCCTTCATAGAGGCGGTGCTTACAGTTCTGATGGAGCTGCTTTTTCTTCATAGGTGATAAAAAACTTCGTGAAAGAATTGTTGAAATGTTTTTAAAATCATACCAACAGGATTTTACACCAAGGCTGGCTCTAGTTTTAAAAAACAAAAGAAGAAGAAAATCTGCTAAGTCATTTCTTAGAAGTCAACTAAGTTGTCTTTTGGAATTGAGGTTTGTTTTTAGGGGAAATATGGTTTGGATGGAGACCAACAAATCTGTATTTTTCATTGCCTCCTAGAACAAAGTGCCTTTTTTATTGGCATTTTTACTTTTCTGTGGGTAAAACGACTCATGACAGCAAAAACAAAGCCCAAGTTCATTTTGCTGCTGAAGGCGTTACTGTTATCAAGCTATGGGAAGCTCCTGCTGATCCCAGCTGTCATCTGGGAGCATGACTACACACCTCTGTGCCTCAGGCTCATCAAAGTGTTTGTCCTGACGTCAAATTTCCAAGCAATCAGAGGTAGGGGTCTGTTTTCACTCTGCCTTCACTGCCTTAACATTCATGGAAGCCTCCAGTGATGGTTCTGGGAAAGTTTCATGGGACCTGCTGAACATGGGTATCCTTCATAGAGTAATAACAGTCCCTGGCACATCTGTGGTACCTAACAGTGGAGGGCCCTAGTGTTTTTTAAATTTAACTACATAGTACTTCACAGTTTTCAGCATGTTTTTATCTGCCTTCTCTGTCCAGTGAGGTTGGTAGTGCAGTTATTGTTATCTTTAGTCCATGAATAAGCTTGCTGGCCATGAGAACAGGTAGCCTGCCCAGAGTTCCAAGCTGGGCAGTTGTCAGGCCAGGAGGGGGTGCCAGGTGCCACCTGCCACATCAGAACAGTGCCTGCTCTGCCAAGAAATGTCTCCATTTTCCTGTGCACTGTGAAAAGTACTATTTTGAATGAACTTCTTACCTGATACTTTTTATCATATACTTGTCATCTTGTAAACTGTGACACTAGTAGTATCATTTTCTTGTTACTCTATTTGTAACTTTAGAATCCACTTTTTTGTTTTCCCCTTGGGTTGGATTAGATTGGGTTGGGTTAGTTTTGAGACAGGGTCTTGCTGTGTAGACCCTCCTGTCTCAGCCTCTCATGTGCTGGGATTTCAGGCATGGGCTATCATGCCTGGCTTCCTCTTTTGTGTTGACAGAACCCTACTTTTGACTCTAGGAAAAGCTCAAGGCTCTGTCTCATACAAAGGCTTTGGTTTCTCAGAGGTGTGGAACAGGACACATGTAGATTAATAATAAGAATGACTGCAGATTTCCTAAAACATAGCTTTACAAGACAGTTCACACATAATTTACATGTGACTGTCAATTTTTTGTTTTATTTTTTGAGGCAGTAGTGAGAATTGAACTCAGGGCCTTGAACATGCTAGGCAAGTGCCACTGGGCTACATCCCTTGCCCTGGTTTGGTGTTTTGTTTTTTTAGTAGTACTAGGGGTTGAATCCGGGCCTCACACATGCTAGGAAAGTGCTCTCCCCCTGAGCTGGACTTCATTGCGTTTTGTTTTTCCAAATGGTCTCACTAAAAGTTACCCATGCTGGGCTCAAACTGGTGATTCTTCTGCCTCAGCCTCCCTGACAATTGGAATTACAAGCATACATCATCATGCCTTAATCAAATTCTTAAGATCATATTGACTGCTTTTTCTTTTCTAGTGACTCTGAACATCAACCGCATACTGTCCTTGTTGGCCATCCTGAGTGGCTTAGTGCTGGAAAGCAGCACGGTCTACTTCTTCCAGAAGATGGAGTGGGACGTTGGCAGCGACTGTGCCTTCTATAGGGATCAGGACTTCTGAAGGTACCAGAGCATCCACGTCCATGTGCTCAGACACGGGCCCTTCTCAGCTTAGATAGGAGCCACTGGAAATAAGCGTGTGCCTGGAAGAAGCACACGTATTGCATCGTTGCTTGAGTTCTTTTTTTTTTTTTTTTTTTAATTTGCTTTTTGGAGACAGAGTCTCACTGTGCGATTCAGGCTGGACTTGAACTCCCTTTGTAGCCCAGGTTGGCCTCAAACTCACAGCAATCCTCCTGCATCTGCCTCCCAAGTGCTGGGATTACAGGCGTGCCCCATCACACCTGCAATTTGCTTGAATTCTGATTGCATCTTTCCATTTGTTATCCTCCGTGACAGCCACGTCTCCGTTTTTATTGCTTCAAGGGTCCTGTCCTCAATCTAATGCCTCCAACCCAGCCCTGCCCTACTAAAATCCAACTGTAGTTCATCCCACAGCCCCTGTCTCCTGCGCTTTCCAGCCATTTTCTCCCCTTCTTTACACCATTCCTGCTTTTTGTTGCCTTCCTTACCTCTACTGACCTGGACCTCCAACTTTCTTTACTTCTGACCAGCTTTACCTCTTTTTGAGCCACACCTGGACCCTGTAGACAGTTGTTGAGCTGCTCTGTTAAACCCTTGAAACCTACCAGCTTTCTGTCTTCCGTCACACGGCTGCAGCAGCTGAGTTGCTGGAGGCAGCATCTCTGCCAGGCACAGGCCCTTGGCGGACCTCTGGCTGCTGCTCTCCGTCCTCACAGGGACCCTCCCCTCAGACCCAGTGAGAAAGACTCAAATGTTAGAAAATATGACCCAACAAAACACAGAAGTTGGAATTCACTGGAGTATTTGTATTATATTGGTCCTCACCCTGTGCTGCCTCCCGTGACTCCTCCTTCGCCTCTGCCTTGGGCATGCTCACTGCCTCGCTAGGGCTCTTTCTGACCTTGGGGTTCCCTTCTCTCCATGCAAGGACGCAGGGTCCTGGGTGTGAGCACAGCACAGAAGGGCGGGGACCAGGGGCAACGCTGTATCCATGCCCCACCTCGGGGACAGGCTCCGAGCTGCTCGCGCTCCCTGCGGTGCCGCCCTGTGCGCCTTCCCCTCCATCTGTGCCACTGCACTCTGCTTCAGCGACACTCCTGCCCCACTTGTCCTCTGCCTCCACTGGGCTCGGCCTGTTGCCCGTGCACATACCTTTCTCTTTATTTTGGACCGCCTCTTTCCATTTCTTCACCAATTTTTTTCCTGTACAATGTGTCCCTGCCCCTCCCCTCCCCTTCGATGTCCCTCACCTCTTTCCCTCAGGCTATAGCCCAGTCCTCACCTCCTGCCTGAGGATGTAGCAGCCCCTGCCTGCCATCACCCCACACTGGTACTGCTCGTGCCCTCCTGTAGTACCCCATTCACTTCTGTGCGGCCCTGGGCGTTTACTTTTCTCCAAGACTGTGGCCTGTGTGCTTCCCACTGTGTACCTCCCACTGCAGCTATCCTCTCCAGAACGCCCAGGTGCCTGCTCTCCATGTGCCATACCCACTTCTCCAGCCTACTGTGTCTCGGCAACACCATGGCAGCTATGTCGCCAGCATTGTCCTTAGACCATGCCAGGGCTGGGATATCATTTCCTTCTTCCTTAAGTGTTTCTCCTTGTTGGCTGTCACTTAGAGTCTAGTTAGAGAAGTAAGCTCATGGCAAAGCGCCTGCCTGGCAAGCGCAAGGTCATGAGTTCGGTTCCCGGTACCGGAGAAAAACCAAAAAAAAAAAAAAAAAAAAAAAATTTAAAAAAAAGCTCATGTATCTTTTTTTCTTTTTTTTTTTTTTTTTTTCTTTTTTTTGAGACGGGGTCTCACCATGTAGTCCAGGCTGGCCTCAAACTCACAGTGCTAGGATTACAGGTGTGCACCAGAGCTCATGTATCTTTAATAAACTTCAAACATCTTGTCCTGCTTTATGTTAACACATATTTTATACTTGCCTATATCTCATTAAAACTGTCTAAGGCTGGGCATGGTGGCTTGTTCCTGTAATTCTAGCACTTGGGAGGCTGAAGCAGGAGGATCACCGTGAGTTCAAGGCTAGCCTGGGCTATGTAGCAAGACCCTGTCTCAGACAAATAAAACTGGCTGAAGGTGTGATTCTGGGAAAGTTTGTGCCACAGGTCCGTGTCTCCCATCACCAGGGCCAGCTGGGGGGCATTCCCACTTGACCATCAGCAGAAGGTGCCTTTCTGAAGACGACCTCCCCCCTTGTCATACAGTCTTATTCTCCACTGTTAGGCGTGACCATCAGCATCTGAAAGAGAAGATGTGTCATAGAAACGAAGTGCTTTTTCTGGTAAGGAAAGTGAAACAAAGACTTGGGAAGGCTTCCTGGAAAAGAAGGCTTTGGCGTGCAATGAAAATCCAGTTCCTCCCCCCAACCCTGGAAACAGCCAAAGCATTCACACACGCAGCGTGACCATGGACATTGATGTCTGCACACAGTTGTACATTGAGTTGTACATTGTAAACAGCCCCAGGGTAGGACTTGTGTTTCACATGTAATGAAAGATCTAAATTTTGTTCCTTTGGCAAGTTTATATCCTTAAATGTGTAGTTCCTCTTTGGCTACAGATTGAATTTTGTGTTCTCACGACAAAAAAAATACTTTGAAAGTTTTTCAAAATAAAGTTTTTGTAAATTTTCAGTTCAGTAACTAAGATATTCTTTCAAATTAGCTGATCTAAAAACAAAACCCACTGAATTGTTAACACTGTATGGAGTGAATTACATTTCAATAAAATATTTATTAAAAAATAGATACAATAGCACCTTCCTTCTCCTCCCTGTTTCACTTGTTCTTTCTTCATTATTTGCTTATTCACTGCACAGATGTTTAGATATTTGCTGAGCCTCAGACCCTGCCTTGCAGTGGTGAATAAAACTCAGCCCCCTCTGCTGGCGTGGTGGCAAATACCTATAATCCCAATATTTAAGAGGCTGAGGCAGCAGTATCATCATAAGTCCAAGGCCAGCCTGAGCGATAGCCAGACTATCTCAAAAAAAAAAAAAAAAGAAAGAAAAGGAAAAAAAAAGACTTGGCCCTTTGAGGTTCACCGGGCAACGATGGGTTCAGAAGTTTGAGTAGCGCATCACAGTGCATGTCGTCAGTGCTGGACAGTCACAAGGGAGCCGCCACTGTGGGCTGAAGTGGGGGCCTGTGGGTAGGGCCCAGAGTAGGTATGGAGACAAGGAGTGACTGAGGCACGGCAGGGGGTTTGAAAAGACATGAGCATTGGGCTGGGGATTTAGCTCAGCGGCACAGCGCCTGCCTAGCAAGCGCAAGGTCGTGAGTTCAATTCCTGGTACCGGAAAAAAAAAAAAAGACATGAGCCCAAGGTTAATGAGACCAATACAAATAGTCAAAAAGAAGAATCCAAGTTTAGAAAAAGAAACATAAGGGGTAACATCTCAGAATAGCTGCAGGATGGAAAGGACCGTTGACCTCAGTGCTCAGGAGAGGAGGGGCAGACCAAGAGGAAACTGTTGGGTTCTATCATGAAAACAAACCCAACAAAGATGTAACACATAGTTGCAAGTTTCCCAATCCTCTTGGTTGAGGTAAGTGAAGATAAACACATCCTAGAAACAAGCTACCCAATTTACAAAGCCATATTCAACACACCTGCTTTTTGGGGTGGCGCACACCTACACTCCAGCTCAGGCTGAGGCAGGAGGATCCTTACAAGTTTGAGGCCAGCCCAACCTACATAGACCCGGTTGCAAGAAAAAAAAAATAACACCCAGGGTCTTTGTTGATCCCCACAAAGGTATTAATCTTGAAGAAAAAAATTATGATCCCTGTCCTTGGTATCAGTGAGCAGTAGCAACCTAAGGCATGTAGAGCATGTGGCCGAGGCTGGCTCAGACCCACGGAGTGCATGGGGACCCATCCAGCAGACGTCAATCACGTCACTCCTGAAGGAAGGAAAGAAGATGGGCCCCGTCCCCCACAGCCAGTCCCCACCCAAGCCTGGGTGCATCCCACCTCCCCAGTGGCTGTCAACAGTTTCTAGGAAACAATTTAAAGAAAAGCAGAAGGAATACGATAGTGAGATGCATGTATCCACCCCTAGACTTTGTAATGGATCCTTCTTCCCTAACTTCTTTTTAAAGTTCGTTTTCCATATTGAGATAGAAGATTGGAGTGTGGCAAAAGCTGGCTGGAGAAGTAGGCGTGGCCTGTTAAGTACAAGATCCCAGATAGACAGTTCCCCAAGCCCTGCCCTTAGACCTCCAGAACTCCAGCAGGTTTTCATAAGATGGCCTAGACCTCAGGTCAGCCTGAGATGTGGGATCTCAGAACCACCTCTCTGACCCGGTGTCGAAGTTCTCGTGGATTTCCTCAAGATTTGGACAGAATAAAAGAAGGGCAGCCATGAGGAGCCCAGTGCTATCATAACTTTCTGTGGTAGCCCATGCTGTGTTTCCCAGAGGCAGTGTGTACTTTTCTTTTGGCGTACCCTTTTTCTCTTTACGTGGCCCAAGCTTGCTCTGCCAAACCAGTTTCTCTCCTGCCCTTCACTTCTACTTTCTCAAATAAACTGCCACCACTTTTTGCTCTGTTCATCCAATTCTTTGTTCAAGATGAGAAGAACCTGAAATCTAACTCCAGAAGGAGAGGTGAGCAACCTGAACCTGGTAACATTTAGTTGGTGAGCCAGTTTTTTTAGAAACAAGCTACCCAATAACAATACTATTCTAGAGGCCAGACAGAACTCCCCACGTAAAGATACTGGGAAGTTGCCCAGCAGTGACAGTGCATGGTGTCTTAGAATGGCATCAGTTTTCCAAGCCCTGCCCCTAAAAATTAAGATGTGGTTTATCAATAAAAATGTATATGAAAATCTGCTTGCAGATACAAAAACAAAGTCATCTTTAATTATTCTAGTTTCATCAAAGGAAACACGAACCACAGCTGTCCTAGAAAACCTCTGCTGGAACCAGTTACACATCAGTCACCTCAGCCTTGCACAGAGCCCACTGCTGGCTCTTGCGTGTGTGACGTGGGCCAGCACCAGAGCAGGAAGCACAGTTTATGAGAGCGCTGTGGTCGGATCAGGCACATGGGAGACAAGGGGGCTTTTGTATTTTCTACCAATGTTTGAAGCCCTGTGAACCAAATTGGGAAGAAAACATCATGGTGTAAGTATGCGCCAAAGAAAGGATATTTTTAGATATTTACACGACGGCATTAATCAGAAGATCCTAGTCTTAGAATGGTTAAGGGATTTTCTCAAGGTCACACAGAATCGGGTCCATCTTGGTCGCTGTTCCTAGTCTAGCAGAAGGAACCTGATCTGTTTGCCTGAGTTACTGGTTTAATGGTGCATCTCAGGCATCTGACTGCCTTTATTGGGAAAGAGTAAACTTCCTCAAGGAATAGCACTGGGAATAGATTCATTTTTAAGAAGTTTTAGGTGAAGGGAGAGCACAGTTAATAGAACCAGATCTAAATAGTTTTTGTCTTCCAAGGAAGAAGCTGTAGAAGGAAGGAAGCGATTTGGCTGTATAAGAGGCCTAAAATAAGTTTCACTGAGTGTCAGCGGGGCCGTGCTCCCTGGGAGCCTCTAGGGAAGAACTGCACGTCCTCTTCCAGTGTGTAGTGGTGACCGTCACCCCTACATCCCTCCAGTTCCTCTTCCACCTTCACACTGCCTCCTTCAGTGTCACCTATCCTTGTCCTCTCCTAAAGGGACACCAATAGCATCTGTGACCACCTGGATAATCCAGACAGCTCCCCATGTCAAGATCACTAATCACCTCTGCAAAGGTCCTTTTACCAAATAAAGTCTTATTTACAAATTCCAGAGGTTTTTTTTTTTTTTTTTTTTAGACCAGACATCTTTGAGGGGACCTTTTTGGTCTGCTACAAGATCATCTGGCTAGAAGTCCTGCCCACCTGCACTCCCTCCCAAATTTGCACAGGACTCGTGTCTAGTGGAGCCTCACCTGTGACCTCACCAAAGACAGAAAGGCAAACATCAAGCTCCGTGGCCAGGTCTGTACTGGTCAGGTAGGTGGATGCAACTGTGAAGATCCCCTTGCAGCATTTAAAGTGTGTTATTCCATCTCTTCGTTGTGCCCCAGTTGCCTTGGGAGAACATACTTAGCTGGGAAACACCACAGGCACCTGCCCTAGAGCTGAGCATTTGCTTTCCATCTTTGGGCTTTGATTCAAATTTAAGGTCAGACTCCTATGTTTTTAAACAGACAACTGTATATCTTTCCCACAACATGGATGTTTGTGGCAGTATTACCTCTCGGTTTGTGTTTTTTTATTTTTTTGTTTTTTTTGGCTTTGCCTTGTCTGTCCTGCCCTCTGGTTTTTTTTTGTTTTTTTTGTTTTTTTTGTTTTTTTTTTCACAGAATTCTAAACCCACATTTTAAAAAATTTGCATGTTGTGTGAATTCTTATAAAGCAGCCTTAAGTTTTGGAAGCAAAGGTGGTGTATAGACAAGGGAATCCATTCACAGTAAATGAGTGTACAGTGAGGCATGCTTCTGTGTACTGGAACACGTCTCCACCCCGCAGAGCAGGCCTGGGCTTCCTCGCCAGCAGCAGGAGACAAGCTGTTCTCCCCAGCACCAAGCAAACACCCAGTGTCACCTCCTAAATCAATCTGGATTTGGGTGGGGGGAAATGCTGCTGAAGCTCAGACATCAGTAATTTTCTAAAAGTCCCCCAAGGGACCTTCATGTGGTCAGGGTTGAGAACAGCAAACTTCAAGTTCACTTCATTGCTCAACAGGGCCCAGCCTCAAAGAACCAAGGACCTGCAGGTGACTAGACTGAATGCTTTTGATTTCTTGTCCCTGCTAAACAGTTATGTCACAAGCTGAAGGAGACTTACTAGCACCCTTCACTGTAACTGCTATCCACAGAGGAACAGAAGTGTTCCTCCTTTGTCTGAGTCCCTAACAGTGTGGCAGGTGAAACAAACACTTGGCTTATGGTGTTGTACTTCTCCATCTAACCTGAAGGAGGTGCTGGTGAGCAATTTACACACAGAGGCAAGAAGAGGCCTGGTGTCCACAGAGACAGAACGGCATAGAGACCCAGCTGTCCACTACTGATACATGATCACCCAAGCTGAGCAGAGGAATAAAGCTACTTTCAGATTCATCTGATGGGGAAAAAAAACTCCACATTCAGTATGTATTTGGACTTACATTCAGGTTATGAAAGCTGATGATTCTGATTTGAGAACAAAATAATACAGGACAACAGAAAGAGTTTATCATTTTTATCCTCAAGTTTAACCTACAAAGTATAAAGCTCTCACAAAGTATTTCAATAAATATATTAAGGCATAAGGTAATCACTGTTTTGAGTGGGGGGTGTGGCTTACTTTCTAACATACTAGTTTACATTCAGTCTTTAGGAACAGAAATGTCTGCTGTCTTACAGTGAATGATACAAAACTTTAACTTGTTCTGGTTTGGGTCTTCCCCACTCAGCAGACCTCTGTATTATCTCCCTTATTCTTTACCTACTAAAGGGGCAGTGGGTAGGCTGAGAGAAGGCTGCTTACTAGTGTGGCAGCAGTGTTTGCTTTTTCCCCCGTTCCTCTGTGGAGCAGGAGAAAGATCTTGCAAGTCACCTGGACAGTTAGGGATACAGCTCACAATAAATAAGGGGGGGCTGAAAAACTCATGAAGCAGTAAGGGAAGCCGCAGGCCTCACTGAAAAAAGGGACAGTGACACTAAGATAAAGACCTGGAAGGGGCCAGCTAAAAGTCACCTCACATGGGCTGCACACTTGGCCTCCTACCGCACCCCTTGTTACAGCCTCTGTGCATCTCAGTGGTGTGCCTCACACCACTGGAGCCAAGGACATCCTCAGTACCTCTCTGTAACCCAATCAGACACTGCAGCATCCCAGCAGACTGCCACGGTGTGTCAACAAACTCCCTACCTAGAAGATAAACTGGTGGCATCCATCCCAGGTGCCACTGACTGTCCACTGTGAGGGCAAGAGCACTTTTGCAGGAGATGAAGCTGATGCTAACAGTGTCCAGTTCAAACCCACCCCCCAACCCTAGCTGCCCCAAGGCCCTAGACGGACTCCAGAATCCAATCGCTGCTGGAGAGGGGCGACACAGGCAGCGGCAGTTCTCCAGGAGGGCCGCGGGCCCTGTCTTCATGGAGGGAGGCTTGCTCCCGGAAGTCCTCCTCTTCCTCTTCATCGAAGAAACCATTCTCCAGTGCATAAGGACAGTCAGGGCTGGAAGCAGCCTGGCATGCCACCTTGTACTCTTGGATAGACTCATAGAGGCTGTACAGCTGACACAGCAAGGACATATCCAACTGGCGGAGACCAACCTTGAGGGAAAGGTGGAGAGATAAAAGCAACAAATCAGCACTGGAGTCTAGTTTTGCTCCAATACCCAGCCAGTAGTCTGCCCACACAGTGAGCAGTGCATAGTGTCATCAGTTGCCTGTGTCCAGGGAGTCACACCTGCCTGCTCAACTCTGCTACAACGCTCCTGCACATTCTGTGGTCCCAGCTACCTGCCATGTGCTGCCAAGACACGCATGTGTCCTCTCCCCAGAATCAGACCTGGAGATCACCCACATCTGCTTTCCTTACCATTATATTAGGATCAAGCAATGCATGCTTATTCTCTGGGGCAACAGATGGCCCCTGCCTATGACAGCATCTCACCAGTCAGGCACACATGTGTCCTCCCTCCAGAATCAGATCTGGAGATGACCCACATCTGCTTTCCTTACCATTATGTTAGGATCAAGCAATACATGCTTATTCTCTGAGGCAACAGATGGCCCCTGCCTATGACAGCAGCTCACCAGTCAGGCACACATGTGTCCTCCCTCCAGAATCAGATCTGGAGATGACCCACATCTGCTTTCCTTACCATTATGTTAGGATCAAGCAATACATGCTTATTCTCTGGAGCAACAGATGGCCCCTGCCTGTGACAGCAGCTCACCAATCAGGGAACACGCTGCCCCCTGCCTCTTCCACTTATGACCAGCTGAGCCCGGCTTATGGAGAAATGTTAGAAGACAGGCTCCTCTCCCAGAGCAGGGCAGTCAACCCACAGTGATGGCGGGTCCCTCCCAAAAGCAACTGCATGACTCTGAAGAAGCCTAGGAGGACAGTAGGACATGGGCCCACATCTTTTCCAGGAAACTGCTTCATAAAAGCAAGGGGTGACAGAACAAGGAACATTTAAAAAACTTGCCTCCTTTCAAGTTCCTCCCTTTCCCACACCCACCCAGAGGAAAGGGCACACTCAGTCCCAAAGAGAGAAGGCTTAACCTGCCTGGCGATGCAGGGAGCCCTGCGCGTCTCAACCTTTCAGGTGTTTGAGAGCCACACACATAAGATCCCATTCAGCTTGTGGACTCTGCCTCAGCAGCTGCGGACATGGTGTGGCTATGCTTCCAACAAGCCCCCAGGGATGCCACAGGCCCTGCTCTGTGGGACAAGGGAAAGGAACATCAAGATGCAGGAGACCTGCCTCCTCAGCCCCCAACCCCAGGTCCTTGAGTGCTGGGGAGTGCTGCGGAGACAGTTCTGATTCTGTGGTCTGTCTAGGCTACTGAGGAGCCAGCCAGGGTTTAAGGGCATAAAGACTCAACTTCCCTCCTTATCATCTCCATGCCATGACTGATGCACAGTAATTCTCTCGCAGGATACTGCTAGGATTACATGAAGTCAGCCCATGCTATTAAGCAGTACTGAGGCGCTTCCTACACTGAGCGGCTAATGGCAAAAGGGCATGTATGTGTGCATACATGTGTGCACACATGTGCACACACAGGAACATGGGATCTATGGTCTCTGTAGCTGCTGAAATGGCTCCTTAGCCAGACTAAAAGACAATCTGACTTTCACAAAAGGAAGCTAAGGCTGCTAAAAAGAGCATGTTGGGATAAAACTGGATGTTCAAGTACAGTTGAGTCTTTATGCCCTTAAACCCTGGCTGGCTCCCCAGCAGCCTAGACAGACCACAGAATCAGAACCGTCTCCCTAGCACTCAAGGGACACCTCCTAGTAATAGGTGGGTCCTACTGTTAGCCTGGACACTCCTGGTGCTACTGAAATTCCTCAAAGTAGCCTTTCTCAGGAAAAGACCTCAGCCACAAGTCAGGGCATGGTCCCCAGGCCCAGCTTTGCCTCTCTCAGTGGCTTTGCCGAAGTCCACACCCTCAACTGGCCTCTAAAATGAGGGACTGAGACTGGGTCATTCAGCCTGTGACTCTGTGTACATGTTGCTTATCTCTCCTGCATGAATGGCCACCACCCACCAGGACAATTTCCTGTGCTATTCTGGGAGGGGGACTAAGCTCAATGGTATCCTGCTCACGTCGGACAGGTAAGCACACCTCGGACAGGTAAGCAATGTGCTCAGGCCCATCGAGGTCAGATGCTCTTTTTCCTGACTAGAATTTGGCTGTGTACACACAAGTGTTATCATGAGAAAGGAGGGCGCTGTCATTTCAGACATCACCCAGATGATTCTGATGTGCAGGCCCGCTGAGAACCAGCTTCCTTGCAACCTGTCACCATGTATGGAATGCGGGGCAACAGCACGGTGTGTATCCTTCCTCCCATTCAGCCCCACCCACACTGAGGTGGAAAAGCAGCCACCTTTCTGTGCGAGGAAGGATCCCCACACACCCAACTACCTTGAACAGTAGACACCAGGGAAGAAGTGAGCCAGGATGAAAATCAACCAGCAAACTTCTCCAGTCAGGGGTAAAATATAGCTGGACAAAAAAAGGGAAAGGTCTGAGATGTTGTCTCTCTCGGGCTCCAGCGATAAGACCCTCAGAACCAGCTATGCTTTTGCAAGCACACAAGTAGTGTCACACAGCCACCACTTCCCAGGCCTGCATTCTGCTGGGCCCTTAACATCACGTGCACCGCACATACAAAACTGCAGCTTCCTGCACCCAAGTTCCTCTTCATCACTGGCTCCCTGTCTGCCAAGACTCCACTGCAGTATCAGATCTGAGTACAACCACCACGCCACGAGATTCTGACCAAGCAAACCCAAATCCACCCATTGCTTCTAAGACTTAATACAAGGACTGGTGACTTAAATAACATCACATCGTGCCAGTCACACCAGTACAGTATTGGCTTTAAACATCACAGGTGTGGCTGGTGCCCAGATATACTTGGGTGCATCATTCTGACACTAGAAGGGCAGGGAGCTCCAGGACTCTTCCCTCCTCAGGAATGGACCACAGAGACACCCAAGGAGCACCAAGCCACATGCTGGCCCAACCTTCCAGGAGGCAGCCAGGGAAAATACAAGCCTGGGCTCCATGACTGAACCCACTAGTCAAAGGCTCTGACCTCCTGTGACCCCATGGCACCAAAAGACCCTCAGACCCAGGCTTTCTTCCTGAAGATGCCATTTCCAGAGTATTCAGCTGCTCCAGGATATGCCCCCAGTAGGACATGTGCTGGGACCTCCCAGTGTAGAAGCAACCAGATGACTCACAAAGCCACCCTGTCATCGGGCGGGACACTGGCCTACAAAGGAAAGTCTAACCCACCTAGAACATGGTGCAATCCTACACCCACCTGTCACACAACCAAGTGAGCATGTGCCCTACTCAGGGACGTAACACAGACCTGAATACACATGCACACACACAGAGGAATGTACACGTGCTGGCTGCTTGAGGCCTCAGACTGAGCTTCCAGTTGAGCAGTGAGGGTTGGCCCTGACCTCCTGCCCAGGACATCCCTTCCCTGATGCCACTTACCATTTCCACTGCATTTCTGTGGGAGGGAACACCTCAGGGCAGCCCCCCATCACTGGTCTCACTACTCTGCAGGCTGCGCCCCCTGCCAACCAGCACCGCACGCACTTGTCATGGTAGGCAGAGTCTCCTTCCCCTGCTGCAGGACAAGCTCCTTCAAGCAGTGCCCTTGGGGTCCTCAGTACTGAGCCCAGAGCCCCACATCGCAGACACGCAGATGTTAGATGACTGAGTTTGATGACTAAGTTGGAAAGCCTTGTTGTCAAGCTGTCAGACGCCCTCCAAGGGGTACCTGCCGTGGCGTGGGTGGTGCTGGGCTTTGACCACACTCCTTAGGCACCCACAGAAACAGCAGGGCTGAACCAGCAGGCCTCTGATGCTGTGAAGATGCCATGCACAGAGCACCAGAACCTGAGTACCCCTGTGGCTCCCACACCTTGCCAGACAGAGGCCAGTCCTTCTGTACTGAAGGGTGGGGATCTGGGATATGGGAAGAGGCCAGAGGGACGCACGCAGAGGACTACCCTAAAGGACACAGTTGAACCACCCATGAACAAGAACTGCTCACCCTTCCAGAAAAAGTGGGTCAGGAACCCCTTAGCCAGCCCACTAACACCTGTACCCACCTGACTACTAGCAGGGAGACCTGCGTCTTACTGACATGTCCACATCTGTGCTGGGTGACACTGCTGCCCTCACCCATGGCTTGTTTCAGAAGATACAGATCTCTTCTGTATTCAGGCACACTTGGAAAATTTAGACAGGCTCACTTACAAATACAGACGTGTTCTGTAATCCTAGAACTTTGGGAGGCTATGGCAGGAGGATCATGAGTTTGAGCCCAGCCCGGGCAAATTAAAAAAATAAAAAGGGCCGGAGATTAACAAAGTGCAAAGGTCCTGGGTTCAATAAAAAAAAAAAAAATTCAAAATTCTCAGATCCTGCAATGTATAGTCTTTTCTGTTAGACTTTCAAGACAATGGAGAACAGTCAACAATCTTCTGTCGCTGTAAACTGCTAGTGCCCTTCCTGTCTCTGTTCAGGCTTCCTGCTTCCTTCCTGGTCATTCTTCTCTTCCGAGGGGGCTCCCTGCACCCCTCCCACCTCCGCACAGGTGCTCAGCAGCCACAGCATCCCACCTGTTCCTTGCGATAATAGTAGGCTCAACTCAGGGATATGCCTCAGACAGGATGATGGCTCCAGCCGGGTTTCACTAAAGTCTCCAAACATCTCTGAAGACCCCTACTGGGGAGGGGTCTTCAAGCAACAGAACCATTGCTACTGGGAGAAAAGGCTTAGAAGAGAGGAGCCTGTGGGGAGAAATCTGTGCTGATTCAGAACAAACACCGTGGGCTGGAGATGTGGAAATGTGGCTCAGTGGCACAGTGCTTGCCTAGCATGAACGAGGCCTTGAGTTCAATCCCCAGCGCCACAGAAAACAAACAAACAAAAACTTGGTGAATAACTGAAGGTTTTTTAGAAAGTATTTTAAGAAGAACTTTCTGTTTCATTTAAGAAATTAAAAATAAATGTCAGGGTAATTCACTGGTGTCTTGAAGAGTCACAAACAAAAAGAA